TAGTCAACATGTGATACAATTGCCGCGTTTGACAATCAGTCCATCACTTGTGGATCAAAGTGTTGGTGATGTTCGCGAAGACAGTAAACGCTTAGATAATAGACCGAAAACCTCTGACATCTCGAATGGCAACGAAAACAGAGGCAAGAATGTTGTGCCAAATGCTGTTAACTCGGGATCTAATGGCGAGTCCGACGGCGACTACAAGTGTCCGATCGATGGCTGCGGGAAGAGCTTCACGACTGCATTGCGATTGAGTTATCACACGACTCGTCACAGTATAGAAAAGCCATTCAAATGCGATTACGAGAATGCGAGTCCGACGGCGACTACAAGTGTCCGATCGATGGCTGCGGGAAGAGCTTCACGACTGCATTGCGATTGAGTTATCACACGACTCGTCACAGTATAGAAAAGCCATTCAAATGCGATTACGAGAACTGCAACTCTGCGTTCACATTCAAGGGACGGCTCGTCGCCCACCAGAAGACGCACGAGAATCAGAGACAACGGTGCGAACCGGACGACCAGTTCGTTGACTCGACCACAAACTCTGTCTTAAAGAAAGACACAAATGTTGTGCCAAACGATTGTAATTCTGGGTCTAATGGCGAGTCCGACGGCGACCACAAGTGTACGGTCGACGGCTGCGGGAAGAGCTATACGACTGCAATGCGATTGAGTCATCATCTGTACCTTCACATTCTGGGAAAGCCATTCAAATGCGATTACGAGAACTGCGACTTTGTCTTTTCCAAAAAATGGTGGCTTCAGAAGCACAAGAAAACGCACGAAAGGGCCCGCGAAAGGGCCCGCAATGCGCCGGAACAGTACGACTTATGCTATGACACCACTCTTAAGATGTATGTCTGTCCCAACAGTGAGTGCGACAAGAGGTTTGCCACTCGCTATCGGTTATTATCTCACATACGGCTCGTTCACAAGAAAACGAACGAAAGGCGCAATGCGCCGGAACAGTACGACCGATGCTATGACACCACTCTTCAGATGTATGTTTGTCCCAACAGTGGCTGCGACAAGAGGTATACCACACGCGAGAAGTTGTATAATCACGCGCGAAGAATTCACGTCGACCGCCGGTTTGTTTGCGATTACGTCGGCTGTGGTAAGGCGTTCAAAAATAACCAAGATTGTCTTATACACCGGACCAGTCATATGCCCCGCCGGGAAAAGCCGTACGCCTGTCCGCACCCGGGCTGTGACTACAGGGCCTCACAAAATCAACTAATTAGGCGACATATGGAGACACACGGCGGCAATGAGCCAGTGTTTGTGTGTCCGGTCGACGGGTGCGGAAAGTCTTATCCGAGATCTGGTAGTCTAAAGCATCACAAGAGAGCCGCGCACACTATAGCGGCCCATACCGTACGGCGCAAGACCTATGCCTGTCAGCACCCGAACTGTGGCCGCAGTTATTTCAGTAGCACTACTCTTAGGCTGCATTCGGCCCAACACTGCGCCGAACCCACCCTTCGGTGTCGTCGCGAAGACTGTCCCGAAATGTTTGGGTCGAGCGCTGCGTTAGTCAGACATATGAAGAGTGTTCACAATTGGAAGCAAACAAGATCTGTGGAGAAGAAGTACGCGTGCGAATGGCCCGGATGTGAATATAAGGGCAGTCTATATAAAATGAGAGAACACCGCACGACCCACACCGGCCTCAAGGAGTACGCCTGTGATTGGCCAGAATGTGGTAAACGGTTCGGCCGGAGTTCATTGCTTAGAAACCCACACAAATAGTAAGCCATACGCGTGTCATTGGCCGGGATGTGCCTATCGGTGCAATAATAACGCAAATATTGCCAAACATGTTAAACAGAGGCATCAAAACCAATGAATTTGATGTGATTTTAAAAACTGTATTTCATTTAATTTGTAACGATATATATTTGATACAACTTTTGTTAACAATCGCTGAATAAATACCGAGATTTTATTCACAAAACGTATCGATACCTCAAAATTGATTAAATAAATGTTTCAATTACTTGTGCTCATTTATTGCACTAATGTTTACATTTAAATTAACTGTACTATATTGTTAATGTGAGACAATCAGTAAATTACAATTACAATTACAATTCACAATTACAAATTAATTCGATTTATCGGTCACTTTATTAATGTAACGAGGGCACAGCTCGAAATTACGGCTCGTAATTAATTAGTCAAAATAATTGAATGCATTTTTTTGTCAAACTTAAAAAACACTGATAAGGTGTCAGTCTGCAGTATTTGCATGTTTGCATTTCATTGATGACTCAAATGTCATTCTACCTCTATATCGCCGGTTTAAATAGTAAAGGAGATGAAATAACAGTCCCTTTAAGTGAATGTTTTGTTTTTATTGAGAGTTAGTATTGAAAGTGTAATCAATTGTCAATTGATTGGTATTAATAATGGCTTTAAATTCAGTTATGATTACTATTAATGATATTTTCGATGATTTAAGGCATGAAAACAATAGACTTCTAAACGAGTTATTGTTTGCCAACAAATGTCTCACTCTTTTGAGTGAATGGAAAACACATTTCATTAAAATTTACGACAAATGCAAAGACATTATCACCGAAGAAGACATACAAACAATGAATGCACTCATGAGTGAGTTGTCGACAATACAAGCGGTGATGAAAACACCGCACGTCTCGCATATTGTGGTCGTCAAGACTGACAGCAATGCCGGCCAACACATCCCACAGATATCGACAAATACTAGCCAACGAGTGATACAATTGCCGCGTTTGATAATCAGTCCATCACTTGTGGATCAAAGTGTTGGTGATGTTCGCGAAGACAGTAAATGCTTGGATAATAGACCGAAAACCTCTGACATCTCGAATGGCAACGAAGACAACGACACAAATGTTGTGCCAAACGATTGTAATTCTGGGTCTAATGGCGAGTCCGACGGCGACCACAAGTGTCCGGTCGGCGGCTGTGGGAAGAACTTTACGAGTCTTCACGTTCTGGGAAAGCCATTCAAATGCGATTACGAAAACTGCGACTATATCTGCGCCAAAAAATATCGACTTCTGGAGCACAAGAAATCGCACGACAGAGGCCTCAAAGCGCGGGGACATTACGACCGGTGCTTTGACACCGCTCTTCAGATGTACGTCTGTTCCCACAATGACTGCGATAAGAGGTTTGCCACTCGCTATCGGTTATTAGCTCACACACGGCTCGTTCACATCGGCCGCCGGTATGTCTGCGATTACGTCGGCTGTGATATGGCGTTCAAAACCAGCGATGCTTGTCGTCGACACCGTAACACTCACGTGCCGTTCGGCGAAAAGCCGTTGTCTTGTCCGCACCCGGGCTGTGGCTACCGGTCCTCACAGCGTTCATACATTGGCCGTCATATGAAAATTCACGTCAACGACGGATCAGTATTTGTGTGTCCGGTCGACGGGTGCGCAAAGTCTTATCCGAGGTCCGGTAGTCTAAAGGCTCACACATTAGCCGCCCATACCGTAGGGCGCAAGAGGTTTGTCTGTAAGCACCCGAAATGTGGCCGCAGTTATTGTAATAGCACTACACTTAGGCTCCATTCGGCCCAACACTGCGCCGAACCGACTCTTCGGTGTCGTCGCGAAGACTGTTCCGAAATGTTTGGGTCATTGTCTGCGTTAGACAGACATATGAAGAGTGTTCACAATAGGAAAAGATATGTGCCTAAGAAGTATGCGTGCGAATGGCCCGGATGTGACTATAAGGCTGTGCTCGATCAAATTAAACGACACCGTACTATCCACACCGGCCTCAAGCCGTACGCCTGTGATTGGCCAGAATGTGGTAAACGGTTCCGAACCACACATTCGCTTAAAGACCATAAGAATGTCCACACAAACAGTAAGCCATACGCGTGTCATTGGCCGGGATGTGCCTATCGGTGCAATAGTCACCCAAATATTGCTAAACACGTTAAACAGAGGCATCAAAACCAATGAATTTTGTTTTAAAACTAAATGTAAATAATAGAAATATTTTACATATTATGTTTCATTGTTTTATTTAATTAATATTGAAATTTTATAAAATAAAACTAATTCAATACACAATCTCTCATTTGATTACAGTTAGTATTTGAGGCGTTTTGTACTGCAATAACAGTCCCTTTAAGTGTATGTTTTGTTTTGATTGAGAGTTAGTATTGAAAGTGTAATCAATTGATTGGTATTAATAATGGCTTTAAATTCAGTTATGATTACTATTAATGATATTTTCGATGANCGGGAATCTTCACAAACATGTCAGACACAGACATCAAAAGCACTGATTTTGTTTTAAATATATATAATTTAAATAATAGACATGTTTTACATTTTTCAATGTTGTATTATGTTGTTTAAATAAAATTACATTTATTAATAAAACTAATTCAATACACAATCTGTCACTTTATTTCTGTTGGTATTTAAAGCGTTTTGTACTGAAATAACAGTCCCTTTAAGTGTATGTTTTGTTTTGATTGAGAGTTAGTATTGAAAGTGTAATCAATTGATTGGTATTAATAATAGCTTTAAATTCAGTTATGATTACTATTAATGATATTTTCGATGATTTAAGGCATGAAAACAATAGACTTTTAGACGAGTTATTGTTTGCCAACAAATATATCAATGCTTTGAATGCATTGAAAACACATTTCATTAGTATTTACGACAAATGCAAAGACATTACCACCGATGAAGATAAACATACATTGAATGCACTCATGAGTGAGTTGTCGACAATACTGATGAAAACACCGCACGTCTCGCATATTATGGTCGTTAAGACTGACACCAATGGCCAACACATCCCATGTGCACAGCAAACGACAAATAGTAGTCAACATGTGATACAATTGCCGCGTTTGACAATCAGTCCATCACTTGTGGATCAAAGTGTTGGTGATGTTCGCGAAGACAGTAAACGCTTAGATAATAGACCGAAAACCTCTGACATCTCGAAT